TATCTCTTTTACATATTTTGCTGTCCTTTTAACCAAAGAGAGAACAACCAATAATAATAAAAAATCATATTCCCTTCTGAAAATGGCAATCATCGTTACTATTATTTGACAATACGATGATGATGATATGACAACAATATTCTCATAGCCATTAGGGTAAAAGTTGGAAATTAAATCTAAGAAAAAAAATCATCCTTGAAATTGTTCCATTACTTAAATGCATTGACGTTTTTGTTTAAGGATGTCCCACAAAGAAAATACGCCAATAAAATTTTTTAACAACCAACTGTCATCAATAAAATAAACGAAAATAATAACAACAACTTTGGCTTTCTTGCCATTTCCTTTTTGCCTTAAAGAGGAAATCAAATATTCTGAGATATTTTTTTTATTGAGACATAAATCGTGGGGGAAGTTGTGAATATAGAATATGTTGTAAGTCTAGAAATTTACGTTAATGATGTAGGAAGGGAAGTTTGCAGTAAATGGTAGATCGTTGCATGTATGTAGTCAGATTGTATTGTTTTTGTTATTGTTGTTGATTATGTGTTGGACATCATACCACTAAGCATCCGGAGTCTACAATACCCTACATTGCGACATTACTTTCAAAATCTTGGTACTGATGCGGGGGACGAGAAGAACCGCCGGCTCCGTATGTTAACCAGCTAAATTGTCACAATTGGAGCACAGAAAAGCACCAAGAATAAATTGAAAAGCCGAAGCAGCCAATACGAATGTCTGTTTGGTGCGGCATAATTTGTTCAGTTTTCTTAGAAATTAGCAAAGGAGTGGTCGTTACGTTATCGGGCCAAATAAATCGAATTTTGAAGGGGAAGATATTGGCAACATTTGGTTTGGTCCATGTCATAGAAGTTATTTTTAAATAACTTCTGGGGAGAATATCCCAGACAAACAACAAGGGAACTGATGAGGATTGAGGGCTCTTTTCGAAACATAGGTATTCCCTGCCTTACCCCCTGGTAAACATTACCATCGTTCTCCACTAATAAACAAACGTTGTTTTTATAAAAACAACAATAAAGGGATAAAGCCAGACCATTTTGTAACAAAAAAAAAAATAATAATAGTAATAATAGTAATAGTAATAATAATAATAATAATAATAATAATAATAATAATAATAATAATAATAATAATAATAATAATAATAATATAATACTAATAATAATAATAATAATAATAATAATAATAATAATAATAATAATAATAATAATAATAATAATAATAATAATAATAATAATAATAATAATAATAATAATAATAATAATAATAATAATAATAATAATAATAATAATAATAATAATAATAATAATAATAATAATAATAATAATATAATAATAATAATAATAATAATAATAATAATAATCTTTGAATACCATCCACCATTTGGAACGAATTTGGCAATTTTCAAAAAAAAAAATTAAATACGTTAAAAATTCTGTTAAAATCTTAAAAATAGCGAATGTAGCCCTTTCATTAGGGTCTATTGGACAACGTGGACCTGCATAGGCAACATTTTTCATAAGCCATTACATTTTCAAATGCGAAACGTGAAAAAAATCAGCTAAAATCATCAAAATACCGAATATAGGGAAATGGCTTATACGAAGATGTGGACCTGTACATACAATTTTCTGTCTTAGGCTGTAGAATTCAAATATTAAATTTGTTACAATTCCGGCAAATAATGTCGCTAAATTATCAAAATACAGAATATCGGAAGGTACCTTTATATGGGGGCTATACGAAGACATGGACCTGCACAGATAATTTACTGTCATAGGGTGTAGTATCTATTACGAACTTCAAATACCAAATTTGAAACAAATCCTGTGAATAATATCGCTAAATCATCAAAATACCGAATATCGGGAGGTACCGTTATATGGGGGCTATACGAAGAAGTGGACCTGCACATACAATTTTCTATCATAGCCTGTAGTATCTATTGCGAACTTTAAATACTAAATTTGAAACATTTCCGGTGAATAGTGTCGGTAAAATTATCAAAGAATGGAATATCGAGAGGTACCTCTATAAGGGGCTATACCAAAATGTGGACCTACAGCCCATTTTTAATACCAAAAGTCCTGCAGAAATAATATACATTTGAGTAAAATTTTATCAACCTACTTCATTTCGTTCGGAAGCTATAGTGATTTCCGCAGGTGGATGGACGCACAGACGGACGGTATATATACGAAAAGTACTAAATGGTGTTAAATTTGGTATTGGGTTAAGGATGGGGTAGTGCTGGAATATTCGAATTTGATATATTGAGACCTCTGTTGGTATTTGGAATTGAGATATTTAGGTGGTTTTATGAAAAGTTCTAAATAGGGAGGATAGAGAGATATAGACTGTTCTGGATTTACGTACTATATGTTAGAAAATATTGCATTCGGTAAAGGGATATTTTTGTTGAGGTCACTGTTGGTCCACCTCGGTAAATTTCAAAATGAATGATTTTAAGACTTCTTGGTGTAAAAGTTAAACATTGTCCCATTATTATGGAATTATGTACTTCAGCATATTTGGCTATTAAAAGTCCCAAATATTTGGTTTAATTGGGACTTAGTATTTATCGGAAAAACCAGACTGACACCGAGATTAGACTAATATCCTCAACACTACTGTTTCATCAAAATATAGGAGAGAAAATATCCTGTTTACAATAGAATTCTGAATATTATTTCCAGGGAATATTATCCCAAGAAGAACTCTGAAAGGTGTCCTATCAATTAATATTCATACTCCTTAAAAATATGACTTCTCAAAAATCTGTAATTAATAGAAGAACTTTCAAAGGTATAAGGGAACGAAGGGAGTATCAATATAGCTCAGCAAATTGATTAGGTGTGAAAATAAACTATTTTATCCATCCATTCCTATAGGTCCCCCACAAAAGTAGAAATGTTGATTAACAATACTCCCCATAATGAGGAAAATATATTTCGATTTTCTTCAAGATTTCCACAACCTAACTTTTTTTGTCGATGTCTCAGTTAGTGTTAAAGTCAGATATATCAAAATTTTCAAATAATAAATCATACACATAGATCACATAAAACGAATCGAATATCGCAGTCCAAACTTGCATATAGAGATTAGTCGAGGATTTCCGATTTTTTTTTTTTTTTTTTTGATATAGGAATTTTGAAATTTCCCATTTCCCTTGCTTCCTTTCTCTACTTATGTCACTATTTTCCTAAAAAGCAGAATATTTGCAAATTTAAAAATGATTTGGAAAAAAGGAAGAAAATAGACGTGTCGTTCCCTAACTCCCACTCCAAATCGACCATAGAATAATATTTAGAAAACATTTTGTCTCATTTAATGGGATTTCATTTATTTAGAATTCATTTAGAATTCCTTTTTTAAAAACGAATCACATCAAATGGAAAACACACTAATATATTTAATGATAAAGGAAATGTATTCGGTCGATAATATTCTGACATGAATGAAAAGGGAATGACAGACAGATTTACATTTTAAATATAAATGGAATAGATATTCGTATAATATTATTTCCAAAGAAAGGGGTTACAAAGTTATCAGAGCAACTAAAAAGCTATGTTGTAGATGAATCTATTATCATTGATTGTCAAACGGTAATATACAGTGGGACCTTTTTAAGAAGGTAGGGAAATAATAAAGATGTGGGTAGAACAGTTCAAATAAATTACAACTTGAAAAGCCATAACTTAGATGAATCCTTAATCAGTGATTGTCAAATATTGATATACAGTGGGACCTGATAGGGGCTAAGATTATATGTTTATGTATGGTTTTTAAACCTGAGTATTATATATTTTTTGTGTTCAATTTACAATCCCTCCTTATTTAGAGGAACAATTTTTTTACACCCTCCACCATAGTAGGGGGGGTATATTAAGTTTGTCATTCCGTTTGTAACACCTCGAAATACACATTTTAGACCCCACAAAGTATATATATATTCTTGATCAGCATAAAATTCTATGTCGATTTAGTGATGTACGTTCGTCTATCCGTCTGTCCATCGGTGGAAATCACTCTAGCTTCCGCACGAATTGAAGTAGATTGATAAAATTTTACTCAAATGTATATTATGTCTGCAGGAATTTTGGTATTGAAAATGGGCCATGTAGGTCCACATTTTGGTATAGCTCCCATATAACGGTACCTCCCGATATTCGGTATTTTGATGATTTTAGCGGAATTGTTTCAATTTCGGTATTTGATGTTTGAAATGAATACTACAGCCTATGACAGAAAATTGTCTGTGCAGGTCCACGTCTTCGTGTAGCCCCAATATAACGGTACCTCCGATATTCGGTATTTTGATGATTTTAGTGACAGTATTCACCGGAATTGTTTCAAATTTGGTATTTGAAGTTCGTAGTGGATACAAAAGCCTATGACAGAAAATTGTCTGTGGAGGTCCACGTCTTCGTGTAGCCTCCATATAACGGTACCTCCCGAAAATTTGGTATTTGAAATTCGGAATGGATACTACAGCCTAGGACAGGTACCTCCCGATATTCGGTATTTTGATGATTTTAGCTACATTATTCACCGATTTTTTTTAAGTTTCGCATTTGAATATTGTAATGGCTTATAACAAAAGTTACCTATGCAGGTCCATGTCGTCGTATAGACCCTTATATGGCAGCTACATTCGGTATTGTTAAGATTTTAACAGAATTTTTAACGGATTTTATTGTTTTTGAAAATTGCCAAACTCGTTCCAAATGGTAAAGGGCATTCAAAGTTCGGCCCGGCCGAACTTATAGCTTTTTTACTTGTTTTATACTTTTTTAATAAAAATTCTTTAAGGTCCACTGTATATTTCATTGCATATTTAATTTTTTATACCAATTTTTTCCTCTTCGTTTATCATTCAAATCTCAGCTGGCCTTTTTGGTGATATTGATTTTATTTATTTTTTGTCTCTCTCTTTTTCTTATCTTTTCTATTTTCTTCTATTCCAGATTTAATATAACCAACCCCGAGGAGCCACAATTTTCTTTGGAAAATTTGGATACTTTAACATCAATAATGACCCAAGAGAACAATTCATTGAAATTGCGCATTTATGCCTACAATCAAAAGGGACGAAGTCCTTCGTATCTGATACAGGATATGGTGATTGGAGCTACAGGCTTTAAAAACGGTATGTATGGTGGAAATAATCAGATTAGTACACACACAGAGACACACACAAATACAAATAGGATGGATGGCCTTCAATCATTTGTGATTTGTTTTGTGGGGGGTCATATTAGATTACCCTACACCTCTCTCCCTCTCTCTCTGCTCCAAAATAAGGACTCATCAATAATGTTATTTCCTGTGTTTTGAAATTTCCAAAGGAATCTTTTTAAATGTTGATGTTTTCTTTCATAGATGTTTACGAAAATCTAGGCTGAGTGAAAGAAAAAAGAAAACGAAAGAAAGAAGGACAATGATTGATTACCACCTGGTGACATGTTTTGATGCGACAGGTGTTTTTGACTAATGTTGTTGGTATTTGCCGTTGACATAGGTGGGGGTGGGTTGGGTAATGTTGTTGGCATTTGATTTTCGCCTTGGCGTGGGTGATGTGGTGCTTGGTTGCTGTTATTGATTTCTTGACATCTTTACCTTAGCTCTCACTCATCGTTTTCTTTGTTTGTTTACATCAACACAACAGCGTATCCTTCCGGAGCCATTAGATTGATATGCTAAATGTTTAAATAGAGCCAGCCATGCTAGAACGCCAAAGGAAGCTTGTCATTCACTCATGACTTCGTTCAGGGGGTACAAAGTTAGCAGACATGTTTATTTTCCACAATGCCATCGATGATAGGTCTTCCTATTTCACCTTTCAAAGGCATTATAGCAAATGCTTGCCAATCCTACACCCACACACAGAGATTTTTTCAAATAGATTGAGGAGAGGAAAAATTTACTGAAGTAAAACGTAGACCAATGATTGATTTACATGTTGGTATTTTTCCTTTTATTTTTCTGTGGTCGATTGAGTCTATATTTACAAGCGGTAAGGTGTTACTTACGTTCGTATATATTAGCGTAACTTATTTTACATTGAGTAAATATTTTTTGAAATATTTTAAAGGGAATTTTTCCTGGGAAATATTCCACATTTTCAACAGGATAGACGCACACTCACAATTGGTTACCTCCTTTATACCTACGCCACTCTATGTTTGGTACTTTAGAGTACAGATTCAATATAGGAGAGAAATAAATTTGAATTTTTTACCCGCTTTTTATACTTTCTCCATACATAGTATGAAGGATACATTAAGTTCGTCATTCCGTTTGTAACTCATGGAAACAATAATTTTAGACCTCACAAGGTAAATATATTTTCTTGATCAGCGTAAAATTCTAAGATGATTAAGCCCTGTCCGTCCGTCCGTCGTCTGTTGTAATAGAGTTAAAATCAATTAAAAAAGGAAGTAAACATTTTGCGCAGATCAGTATTTTGTATGGGCTATATCGGTCCCCGATATCGCATATAACGGTACACAACCACCCCCATGTTCGGCATTTTGATGATTGTAGCCACTTTTTTTTACCCTGAAAGAGAATGGCCTACATAGATGTACGGCCAACGATATCGAATAACCCCCATATAACCTTCCGATATTTTGATTATTTTAGGAACAATATTCCCCAGAATTGTTTCAAATTGCATATGTGAAGTTCATAATGTGTACTACAACCTGGTCTGAATCTTCTTGTCTAATCTTTTCTATATGGGTCTGAATTTTCATATAGCCCACCTGTAATTTTCATATAGCCCGCTATATCTGACATTTTGATGATAACAGCAGCAATTTTCACCAGAATTATGTCCAGTTTGATGATATTAGAGGATCACGTCTTCGTATAACCCCCATATTTGTATTTTTGACGGATTTTTTCTTAAATTTTTCAAGTTTCTTCCAGTAGCTGCTTTTTTACTATTTATGACTACAAGGACTATATTTTAACATTCTTCGCTCTTTGAAGATCGACAAAACTCCTTGCAAAAAATACGAGGCTCTCACTCACATTTTTGGCAGTTTTTTATGCCCTTCACCCTACTATGGAGGGTATATTAACTTTGTCATTCCGTTTGTAACTCCTCCAAATACTCATGTCAGACCCAACAAAGTATATATATTCTTGATCAGCGTAAAATTCTAAGTCTATTTAGCGATGTCCGTCGGTCTGTCCGTCTGTCTGTCCGTCTGTCTGTTGTAATCACGCTATCTTTCGAACGAATAGAGATAGAAGGGTAAAATTTGCTCACCTGTTTATTTTTCCAATAGGCAGGTAAAGTTCGTAAATGGACCATATAGGTCCACGTCTTCATATAGCTCCATATAACGGTACCTCCCGATATTCGGTATTTTGATGATTTTAGCGACATCATTCACGGTATTTTAAATTTGATATTTTAGTTCAAAAGGGATATTACAGCCTAAGACAGAAAATTTACTGTGCAGGTCCACGTCCTCGTAAAGCCCCTTTATTACGGTACCTCCCTACATTCGGTATCGTTCACCGGAATTGTTTCAAATTACGTTTCTAGAATTCTGTGACAGAAAATTGTCAATGCAAGTCCAGGTCTTCGTTTAGGCCCCATATATCAGAACCTTCCTAAATTCGGTATTTTGACGATTTTAGGTACAATACCCACCGAAATTGTTTGAGATGTCGTATTTGAACTTCATAATGAATGCTACAGCCTATGACAGAAAATTGTCTATGCTGGTTCAGGTCTTCGTATAGGCTCCATAAACCAGTACCTCCCTATATACGGTATTTTGACGATTTTAGGTGCAATACTCACCGAAATTGTTTGAGATGTCGTATTTGAAGATCGTAATAGATGCTACAGCCTATGACAGAAAATTGTCTTTGCAGGTTCAGGTCTTCGTATAGCTCCGATATAACGATACCACCCTATATACGGCATTTTAATGATTTTAGATACATTATTCACCGTTTATTTCAAGTTTGAAATTTGAATATGGTAATGGCTTATGACAAACAATGCCCATGTAGACCCCAATATAACGGCTATATTCTTATAGACCCCAATATAAGGGCTATATTCGGCATTTTTAAGAGTTTAACAGAATTTTTATCAGATTCTATTTTTTGAAAATTTCCAAATTCGTTCCAAATGGTGGAGTTCGGCCCGGCCGAACTTACTGCTTTTTAGCTTGTTTATATTTCAAGGCTGTGAATGTTAATCAATATTTAGCATCTTTATGAATTAAACAACAATGGAATTGGCTCACATACTAAATCTCGATATTCATCTCATCTAGTATAATTTAGCCACCCGTTTGGTGAAATCACGAAAAGCTCACACTTTAGAAGATTCAGATTCATTTGAAAAATTTTCAATATTTTTCTTGTTATTTATAGACCCACTATAATGGTAACTTTGGATTTTCGGTATTTTCTGCCCCAACTTCTAACCAAATCAGCCATAATTTGAAAATCCTTTATCTATGTGGGTAAATTTATTCTTCGCCAAAAAATTTTCAACAAAAGTATAATTTAATATCATTCCCAGTAAGAACTAGATGTATCTTTCAATTTTAGTACTGCTAGTAAAGGACACCATCGAACATTATTAATCGAAACAATCATTTAAAAACCAAATAAGTAAAAAAAGCTGTAAGTTCGGACGGGACGAACTTGTTATACTCTCCATCATTTGGAACGAATTTGACAATTTTCAAAAAAAAAATCTGTTAAAAATTCTGTTAAATTCTTAAAAATACTGAATGTTGCCGTTATATTAGAGCATATTACAATGTGGACCTGCACTGCCAATTTTTGTCATAAGCCAATACAATATTCAAATGCGAAACATGAACAAAAAATTCGGTAAATAATGTTGCTAAAATCATCAAAATACCGAATATGGGGAGATACTATTATGTGGGGGTTATACCAAAACGTGGGCCTGCACAGACAATTTTCTGTCTTAGGCTGTAGTACGTATTACGAACTTTAAGTGTAAAATTTGAAACAATTCCGGTGTATAATGTAGCTAAAATCATCCAAATACCGAATATCGGGAGGTACCGTTATATGAGGGCTATACAAAGACGTGGACCTATGTGGCCCATTTTCAATACCAAAATTCCTGAAGACGTAATATACATTTGAGTAAAATTTTATAAGCCTGCCTTATTTCGTTCGGAAGAGTGATTTTCACTGATTGACAGACAGGCGGACAACGCTGAATCGACATAGAATTTTACGCTGATCAAGAATATATATACTTTCTGGAGTCTAAAATGTATATCTCGAGGTGTTACAAACGGAATGAAAAATTTAATATACTCTTCATACTATGGTGGATGGTATAAAAAGTACTGATATTATTGATCAGCGTGAAAGCAGACGATTTAAGCATGTAGTCTATTAAAATCAATCGTACTTTCGACGGGATCGTATTTTAACGGCGAAAATATCGATTATTTGCATTTTTCCTCTGAAAAATGGGCTTTCGAATGGTCATACATAAAAGAATTCGAATAGTCATACAGAAAAAATATATGGATATATAGTCAAATATCAGAAATACAAAACGATTTTTATAGGAATTGCAAAAATTGTTTTCAATACCCTTTAGTACGACATATGCATTTCCTCGTGTCTCCGATCAAAAACCAAAATATTTCCTTGTAACCTCAATGTACTAATTTCCTAAAATCCCGGATAATTTGAGCCCTCAGTACCAAGGACATCCTTCATTCAAAACTTCAAGGTTATAGCTCCTATTGATAGCATAATTTCAACTCCTGTCGATAATATCGATGTATTTTTTGGTATCCGGCGATTTTGGTGGCCATTGGCCATAATTTTAGGCAATGGCCAGGATTTAAAGTTTCGCCAAACATTTGTTCTACATACATCTATCTTCCAAGGGTATTGCTTCCGAATTTACGTTCAAGAATATTGTCATTATTATGTAAAAAATGTCAAAAACAAACCGTTATATCAGGATCTAGGTTGGTCTAGCGAACATTTTTCATACTAAAATAAATAAGGTGGCATAAACATCCTTTACACTTAACTTAAAAAAATTGTCCGGAGGAAAATCGTGATTCAGGTCTTTAATGTATAGTCTTTTAACCTCATTTAAAATAGTTT